TTGGCGCTATCTTTGATAGTTTTATGCTTATGGGAGCTCAAGTAAATAATATTTGTAAATTGTGCTATTTTAATATTAGAAATATAGGTAAAATACGTAAATGTGTAACTGTAGAGGCCACTAAGTCACTTGTTAATTCTCTGGTCACTTCTCGATTAGATAACTTTAATTCACTTTTAGTTGGTTTACCTTTAAAGCTTATAGATAAATTACAAAAAGTACAGAATACTGCGGCTAGACTTGTTACTTTAACTAAGAAATGTGACCACATAACTCCTGTTTTATATAATTTACACTGGTTACCTGTTAGATATCGAATTGATTTTAAGATTTTATTACTTACTTTTAAATGTTTAAATAATTTAGCTCCTGTTTATCTCTCAGATCTTTTAGAACTTTATACACCTGGCCGAACATTACGTACATCAGATAAACTACTTTTAAAGCCCAAAACTGTTCAACTAGTCTCCTATGGTCAGTGCTCTTTTAGTTATCAAGCACCTGTTTTATGGAATAATCTACCATTTAGTTTAAGATGTTGTACATCTCTGTATTCTTTTAAAAAACAACTTAAAACACATTTATTTAATCAGGCTTTTAACTGACTCTGTATACAATCGTTAACATGCCCATAATCTTGTTGTTTATGTGTGATTTACATTGTCACTTTGTAAAGTGCCTCTGAACATGTTATATGAAAGGGTGCACTATAAATATGCTGTAATAATAATAATAATAATAGCAACCGAAATGATAATCGTAGTAGTAAAATTAATCCGACAATATCAACCATTTTGTTTTAACAAAATTGCGACCAAAATGACAATTCTATTGTTTTTTATCACCATATATTTGTAATCGGCTGGTGCAATGTCATTTTATATGTTTTATTAGGCACAAAGATTGTAGCATCAGCGATCGACTGGACTGTATCCTCCATCTTGTTTTTTCAAAATGGCCACCAAAATGGCAATTATTGGAGTTCTTATACTTGGTACTTGTGTAATATATCATTTTAGAGGTTTTCGGGGGCGCTGAATACGAAAAACATGGTTTTGGGTCGATGCAACGAATATTTATCATTTTACATATTCGATGATTTTATGGTCACTCATCAGTTATGGTCACACCTTGCAGGGTAGGGTATACCAATGAAACGACGGTATTCAACACCTTATGCTGTCAAGTATAAGAAAAGAGAACATTTTTCAAAAGACAACAGTATGCTAAAAACTCTCATAAATTTAATAAAAGATTATATTAATAATTAAAAGAGAAAGTACTAATGATCAAAGATCCCGTATTAATATGGTTTGACTTGTTTACAGCTTAATTAATTGGGTGTTGATTGATCTACTGTTTTGACTGCCGAGTTCTAATTAAAAGAGATGGTACTAAGCCTTATGATCAAAGATACGGTATTAACATTGTTTGACTATACACCTTAATTGAAACTAGTTTCATTGTATATACTATGAAGTTTTCGTATGGCATGGTTACGATGTCAGTGTATAGATAGCTGTAAACAAACGCTATTTACAGTGGATATAATTGCATTACGAGAATTTAATTTATTAATTCATCGGGCATGGGCGACTGTTTAACGTTCGAGAATGGAAAAGGGCGAGCTCTCAGTTGCAAATGAATTGAATGCACTGACATCTGCAGTTTTTAGAAAAGGCAAGTTAAAGGTGTCGGTATGTTCCAAAACAATATCACACAGCAACCATGCCATTAAAACTTTCGTTATTTTGTTGTTTAATATTAATATTTTCTTCTTTAGGTTTTCAAGGGTGACGAAGACGAAAACCGTTGTAAATGCGCTCTTTTCATAGCAAAACATCCACAACAAATGCGGCATATTCACATTTCCTATGATAGCGTTATAATTTAGAACAGTGTATACATTAGTAGTCTAAGTTTGTATATTATTACTTAATCAGTTAATCTCATCAATTATTTAGCACCTTGGTGCCAGTGGTCAGAAGATTAAGGTTGTTGATTGGGTAATCAAGTTTAGTAGCCTATCTTAATCATCAAAGAAGCCGCCACAGCTGCACGCCTGAATTAAGATTTTGCGTGTACAATAAGTCTATTGTTATTTTAAGCATCAGGTACCGTAACGGTATCAAAATATGAGTTCATAATAGAATAGAAATTTCAATTTCATTGGCATGAAATGCTTATGTTCGTTTTGGAAGCGGTGTAATTAAAACAATGGCAGATTATTTTTCCCACTCGATAATCGTCGCGTTTCGACTCATTAGTCGTTATCATTTTCCCGACCCATGGTGATAATAGAATTTTAAACAATAATAATATCCAATATACATTCTTAACTTTGCATGCCGTATGAAAGACAGTAAACGGAATTCACCTATCAATAAAATTCTATTCGGAAAGAAAATTATTGGCTATTTTGTTTATTTCCTTTTAAGGACTATAAATTATTTTCTAACAGACCAAACGAAACATTAAATCATCGCCGCTTTGATTAGTTATTCGGAGTAAATAATGAATTGTCGGTGGCCTCATTGTTAATTATCAATCAACTAATCATTAATCCGTGAGAAGTGATTACGGATTAGTATTACTCAATGACACGAACGGCTTGTTGATTGATTTACAATGTTTTGATTAACACTCAACGGCTATCTATATAGGACCAGATTCAGAATTAAGTTGTTGGTATCCGAGGATCTTTTTATTTTGTGTTTTTAACAATTTTCAAGTGTAAATAATTTAATGAAATCAACCTGTCCATAATATCATATTCATTGTATTGGACGTTAAATCTTTAATAAACAACAACAACAGTTGTTTTCTGCCACTTCTCAGAGTGAATCGCATGTAGACACCCCATAACATTGCCCAAATCTAATTTCTATCGTCTGCTTGAGCCTCGATGCGGCCAGGGAACCACAATGCTTTGCACGCGTTGTCTGGCCCAATCAGCAAACGAATTGTGTTGGAAGCATAGCAACAAGGGGAGTGTGTTTACATTTTTAGGGGTTTTAAAACCCTTTTGTATTCCTTCAAAATGAATTCATCGGCAATATTTTGGTCATATTAATAAACTAGAGATTCTCTGCTTTACATCGATGCCATGCATTTTGCAAGAGGATTGACAGGTCGCCCCGCTGCGAGCAGAGAAAAATATCTAATTCCACTGAGAATATTCAGAAAAATACAGATTTAAGAATACGGTACTCTTACAAAACGTCCAAATAAAGGCGTTTTAAAATGTTTTATTGCTATTTTGATCTTTTGAGTCGATAGATAGTATATTTATTGACTCATTTTTGTTAAAATCTCAATTTCGATCAAAATCAATATTTTCGCTTATTTTGTCTCTTGTGCAAAATTAATTTTCCCGCATTCCGACTCATATTGATGCGGCGAGTCACATATGTTGTTTAAATTAGTGAAATGAAGAAGCCTATTTAATTTCAATAATTTCCGTTTATTATGTCTAGAGTTATGGCACCTGTTTCACTTTGTTGAACCTTGTGAACGCTCTAATGCCAAAAGTTAACATATGATCTTTGTGAAATTTATATGCAATATTTAAATTAGGGAAACGAAGAAGCCTATTGAATTTCAACAATTTCTGTTTATTACGTCTAGAGTTATGGCCCTTGTTTCACTTTATTGAACTTTGTGAACGCTCTAACTCCAACAGTTATCATCCGATCTTTCTGAAATTTATATGCATTATTTAAATTAGTGAAACAAAGAAGCCTATTGAATTTCAGCAATTTCTGTTTACTACATCTAGAGTTATGGCCCTTGTTTCACTTGACTGCACCCTGTGAATTCTGTTAAAGTCTAGAGTTATGGCCCCTGTTTCAGTTTGTTGAACCTTGAAAACGCTCTAATGCCAAAAGTTAACATACAATCTTTGTGAAATTTATATGCAATATTTATGTTAGTGAAACGAAGAAGCCTATTGAATTTCAATAATTTCTGTTTATTACGTCTAGATTTATGGCCCTTGTTACACTTTATTGAACCTTGTGAACGCTCTAAATCCAAAAGTTATCATCCGATCTTTCTGAAATTTATATGCATTGTTAAAATTAGTGAAACGAAGAAGCCTATTGAATTTCAGCAATTTCTGTTTACTACATCTAGTGCTATGGCCCTTGTTTCACTTAACTGTACATTGTTAACGCTGTTAACGCCAAAAGTTATCACCCAATCTTTGTAAAATTGATATGCATGATTTAAATTAGTGAAACGAAGAAGCCTATTGAATTTCAGCAATTTCCGTTTATTACGTCTAGAATTATTTTCCTTGTTTCACTTTGTTAAACGCTTTTAATGCTCGATTGATGAAAGTTATCATCCAATATGTATGAAATTTATATGCATCATTTAAATTTGTGAAACAGGTCTATTGAATTTCCGCAATTTCCGTCAATAATTTCTAGAGTTATGGCGATTGTGAACGTTTGAATGACAAAAGTAATCATGTGATCTGTATGAAATTTATATTCATTATTTAAATTAGTAAAACGAAAAAGCCTGTCAAATTTCAACAATTTCTGTAGATTACTTCCACAGTTGAGTTGAGATCTGTATGCGACAGCCCTTGTCGACTGCTCAGACGATTTAGCTGCTGTGGGCGTATGTTTTGTTGCCTGGCAACCTATCTTTTTCCTTCGATCCCTGCATTGGCCAAGAAAGTTCATCTGGATTTTCTGACGTGGTTTCCCCTGGTCAGTGGTGCAGAACAGAGGGACTGACAAGGACAGCTGTCTAGTCCTTCGGATGATACGGAAAACCGAGGTCCCGTGTATACATTAGAATGCACGTAAAAGATCCCTTGGCAGTTGGAAATCGATATAAGAGTAGGCAATAGTGCCGCTGCCCGGGCAAAATTTCACTCGTAGCACACTGTATGGCGTATGCCTGTCTTCATTAGCCCAGTGTAGGAGCAGAACAGTAGGACGTTAAACTCGATTTCATTTCATTTCATTTCTATTTTTTTTCTTCAGATTATTGATATTCCAGGTGAGGGTGGGTTATTGAATGTTGCTTCTAAACTTCAGTTTATGCCAGGCTTTGCTTTGGAAGGATTCCCAAACCGGGATTCGACATCTTATGCTAAAGCTTATGGCATCGACAATGTTGGCACCATTTTGAGAGGAACAATAAGATATGAGGTAAAATAAATAATGTTCTTTTTGTCTAAGGATGGTAAAAGGGTGCGTGGGGTTGTTGCTTCATATTGTTCTTAAGAAAAATCATTATATGCATTTAAAGATAAATTTTTGTAATAAAATGATCAATCTATATGATTTAGTATGTAAATGTTTACTTTGTAGGGATTTTCCCGGCAGATTAAAGGATTAATGGCATTAGGGTTATTTGATACCAATCCTCATTCTAATCTGCATCCAAATGGACCAGAATTATCTTGGGTAGGTATATATTGTAGATTACTAATTCTTGTACTTAGCTACTGTAGTGACATCATTACCATTGTGAGTCTACAGGTAGATACATGTATGAGGATATCATTTACTGTACTGTATGAGCTTCTATTATCCAATATTTAAGACAAAATGACCATTTTAAAATTGGAACACGAATCGTGTGCCAGAATTCTTTTGAGTGCCATTTGTAATGAAACGGCTCGATGAATGAGGCTAAACATATCCCACAGGAGAATACTACATGTACCAGTGTAGACTGGAATAACCAAATGCCAAAGAGGACCATTCAGTTTGGACTCGTCACGTATTTCGCCAAACATAACTGATTAGAAATTACAGTAAAAACAGAAATGATTGAATGTAAATCAGTTTATATACATTCATATTACATTATTATATGCGTTGCGACCCATTTGTGTCCATTTCTGGTTCAAAAGAATAGAGATTTAGCTCTTTGAATTTGATAACAAGGCCATACCACATGATGACCGAATTGGCATTTGGCATATACAAGGAATGGCATATAGGCTACCATGGTATTTTATTTGTGGAATATAAAGAAATTTTTTTATATCTGCGATAGATAGTAAAAATCTTTATAGTTAAAATTTTTAAAAAATCACAAATTTCATGAACAAAGTTCTATTCGAAAACATATTATGTTATTTCGTTTGCAATTATGACCAAAGGACCGAAACCAAATGGGGGAGACATACTTCGAACGACTCTTCAAATTGGTTATTCTGGTTCACAAAATACAGCACTGACACAGTGATTGACTGAAAGACATAGACTTTGTGTAAATAACATGCATACAAAATGTAGCATTTTAAACAAACCCAATCCAAAATGAAGGCGATTTCAATGTACAGACTAATTTGCTATACCGTTATGCAAAGGGGGGATAGATGGCAGTTTGGTTAGCATGTGCACGCTGTATCATAAAGCCTGTCATTGAGTCAACTGGCGTGGTTTCGAATCCCTGGTTGTACGTGACAAGGAGTAGGGTTGCCTATCCAACCTCGTGGCTTTTCTCCGGGTCCTCCGGTTTCCGCTCACTGCTAAAGACACCTACTTGCAAGCGAATTATTGAAATAAAATTAAACCATTTGTTAGTCCTGAAAAAACCTAGTTTGTGTTGAGTGGATGTTAAACCCCATTTCTCTCACTCTCCGTTATGCAAAACATACTTAATCGACAGCAATAAATGACTAACTCCAGCAACAGGATCAGTAATCAGACGTGTACAATACCTGGAATCAAGTGCAACCATACTGTCACCATGCAAACTGCGACAAAATTCCAGATACTAAACAAAGTGACAACAATATTCGAATTCCATAACGGTTTGAATATAAACGATGACGGGTCTGCTGTGACTGATAAATAATATTCTAATACATATAATTATGCAATAAAATAAATGACAAAACGATTTTCTACTGTGTTAGTATGCTCTCTGTACCAACTTACAACCCACAGTGACAAGCGATTACCCCAGCTGCACAGGATCTCTTCCCAGCCTCCCTAGCGAGTAGCCTCAGGGTTAAGACCACAAAAATATCTGCACAACGCCTAAATGGAATAGGACAACTGATTATTCTCGAAAATTGACTTAAGACAAAACCAAAACGCTTTTGGCATCTACAATTAGTGTGATCAATCAGACTCCTTGTATAGGATACTGTGGTACAGGACAGACTACCATGGTATACTGTATCACACTCTTATATTTAAATATCATATGTTTTTTGTACACCCACATTTTCATGTGGAGATATTATGCCATAGCCCTGGTCCGTCCGTGTGTCCATTCACGTTTTGTTTGTGGACCCTCTACAGGTCTCAATTTTTATCTGATTATGACGAAACTTGAAATATAGGCTTATATCCCAAAGATCTTGGTTCCTTTTGATATTGGCATGTATCAGACAGTAACTTCATGGATTATGGCCCCAAACTGTACGAGAAATTACATTTTTAGCTTGTGGACCCATTTAAAAGACACAATTTTAGATGAAACTTAAAATATACAAAGCAGCAAAAGAAACGTCAGGTTGGTATATTTCTCTGAATAGATGCATTGCATAAAACTTGCCAAATGTTTTTATTGTATATTTGTGACCACATCTCCAACTTTACCTGAGCAATAAGGCTCTTTCCCAAACACAGAATTGAACCCAGGAAATGTTCTCAAAAAACGCAACTTGACTTCTGAGATGGTAAGGTGTTCTCCATGATTTTCATGTAACTCCTGCTGCATGTGCTGTTTACCGGAACCGGCCCTATAAAATGCACCCCCATGCTCCGAGGAACCAGGCGCTTGGAAGACCCAATGCTGGCCACACTGCCCAAGCAATCACTTCCAGGTCAATGTTCGGACCATCTACACGCTTCAGCAACGCTTTCGGGCCACCAACACCACGGATGATTACCCCCAAACTGGTAGACCAGGGGTTACCACAAGGCGTCAAGACTGTCATGTTGGACGACAGCACGTGCAGAATCCCTTCACATGCATCTGAGACAGCCTGTCAGACAGTGGGAACACATGGAAGACCCATCAATACCGATACAGTGCCGTATTGCCGTAGACCTTACCGTGGACCGATCCTCACCCCTCGCCATCGACGTGAACGTCTACAGTTTGCCCAACAACACCAGAACTGGTGACACCGGCAAAGGAGAACTGTTCTGTTCACAGAGGAGAGACGTTATTGCGTATCAACTGCAGATGGTAGGACCAGGGTCAAAAGTTTGATTTTGGTATGCAACCCCTACTTTTTATTCAAAATGTGAAATATGTATGTAGTTTGGGGAACCTTCCACAGGCTACAATTTTTTCTAATTCAGAAGAAAAGAAACTTAATAAATATGTTAAGGATCGAAAGATCTTGAATGAATTCTATTTTGGTGTGCATCCAAATTCAACTTCTTGTTTAATACAGTCTGGGTTGTTAAAGATATATTATGGGAGATTATATAATGAGCTGGTAGTTCTCACTATAATAGTTAAAAACTAGATAATGTAAAGGGAATTTGATGAAAGTTGGTATGATAAAAAACATAGTCTTGATTATCCATTTTTTGATTTAATCAGAAGCAGCAGACCAGGTTATAATCCAGTAAATATCGCAGGCTAGCAATGCCATTGAATGTTGATTATGGTCTGGATAAGTTAATTAATGTCTAATTGATAATTTAGATAACATTTCAAGCCTAAAGAAAGACCTGCAAATTGGCAGATTTAGCTCTTGCATAATGTATATTTAATTCACATTGAATTATTAAAGAAATACACTTGTATTAAACAACAAACAGATTTACATTTGTGTTGAACGCTATTGAAACACTGTATTTTACAACATGAGGGTTATTTCATGTATATTTTGATCACTGTTCATTGTCTCAATTTGGGCTAGTACCCTAAAACTATACAATAGCCTTGGCCAATAACAATATTTTTAAAACTAAGCCTTTGAATGCATATGTATTTAACTAATTTTGTTTTCAAATTTGATGTGAAGCATTGGGACAATGAGAAGATGAGCTCTATTGATTTTCCTCATTCCCTATCCATCTATCACTTGCAAAATGTGAGCGTATCTTGCAGGGCTAAGTACTACTTGTTATTTCAGAAATCTTTCCTGTGCGATTTATTTGGTAAATCTCCTGATATTTTATCTGATACATTAAAAGATTTAGTTTATGAGAAAGTTAATAAAGATGATTACTGTTTAAATTCCATAGTAGAGTAAGTTTAGATCATTATTTGCCAGTCATTATTTTAAACATTTAAGATCAGATTAAGTGAAAGGAGATTTTCTCATAAGTAAGTCTGACATATTTCTATGAACAATCTAACATGTTTTAACTTTTTTAACATCAAGGAACTATGTAACATATTTATATTTAAACTTTATAAGCAATTTCTCTGGACAATTGCACATATTTATTTTAATTGATGGGTGTATATTTGACTAGGCTTGGTCTGTTAGATGATAAACCATTAGATAAACAAGGTTCACCATTTTATACCCTGTCCAATTATCTGGCTAAAAGACTCAGATATGGTGAGTATGACCATCGATATATATATATTAATAACTTGTTAAAATCATTTTGATACAGAGGGAATGTCTATACATATACAGTGCACTCTGTCACATCCGACCTCTGATCACTCCGGCACTCTGTTACATCGGACACCATTTTCATGTCCCGATTTATTTCCTTATTACTTCAGCCAAAAAATCTCATGGTAATTTGACCTCTGTACGTTCCGGATTACGACATCAATCAGCCGTCCCGTCATACGATTTCCATTGCATCGACACGGATATAATCCGGCCTTCAATCGGTGGGTGTGAATCAAACACTTACCGATCAATTATCCATGAGATTAAAACTGGATGGGTGTGAAGCCACAAAAGATTAACAATCAATCACCAATCAATTACCTCGCTACCGTGGGTCTTTGTTGATTACTTTGATAATTTTAATCTCTTGTACGACAGTTGTGACAAATACTCAAGAATATCCAAGAATTTTCCCCCGAATTCACAGTCGTAAAAATATTCCTAGCTCCTGTTGGAAACATTCGTTGCGCATGCTGATTGAACCTGAATAACCTATAAGTTTGGTCACCCTACGGATCTCTTCGAACCGTGTGACGACGACCTGGAGATGCTCGATTCGCAGTCCGGAACGTCCCGAATTGACAGAATTACAATTGAGTGACGCAGAATTCAGTCCTGTCACAGTTCTGTCAGTCCCGACAACGGAGGTGGTGTGAGTAGAATTGTGACGTAATTAAACACGCCGAACAGGTTTCGACGGCTTGGTTGGATGAGATATTTATATATCCAGTCGACACATGCGTTGTAGCCCGAAGTACCCATTTTCACTCGATTGTCTTCAATCGAGTACGCCCATTCATTATCAATGAACACGTGATAACAAAGACAAGAGTGCGATCAACTGAAGACGGCAATGAAGATAAATTAACGACAGACTTGACCTATTCAAAATGCCTACGCATGTTAAATGAAATAAAAATTAATGTAATAAAATTTTGAATGTACAGAAAGGTTTATCATTTTTAAAGGGAATAACATTCTGGTGATTCGAAGTTCTATGTTCGAAGCTACATTATAATAATGCTTCCGGTTTTCGAAGTTACAATATTTCCGGTTTTGAGAAAACTGGGTATTCTGACACTCTGCGTAATCCGACATATTGTAACGATCCTGTACGATGTCGGATGTGACAGAGTGCACTGTATAATCAAATGATTGTTGTATCTTCATAATAACCAGTCAAATGGCATTGTTTCAATGCCAAGCTTTTATTTGACAAGGAATAGTGTCAACTGCCCAACCTCATTGGTTTACTCCATGGTCCTCCAGTTTTTTACCACTGCTCAAAGCCACTACGAGCAAGTAAATTATTGGATGTTAAACCCCATTTTTCTATTCCTCTCATAAAGGCCCTGGTTTTTATTTTTTTTACAAGGAATATGATGGTGCTATTTATTTTGTATTTGGTGCAGTATTTATGATTGATTGATTACTGACATTTGTCTTCAGCATGACCAGGATGTTCAAGAGAGAAAATACCATTTTACAATTGTTGATCAAGTTTGATTTTTTAAAATTTCAAGTTATGAGTTTCAGTTTGATATTATGGGTACCTGATATGTGTTAGATGGAATTTATTTCAAATTCTGACTTTAATTCTAGATTTTCTTTTTTTCTTGGATTTTAGACTCAACTATAGTATAAATGGTAATAATTTTGAAGTATTATATCCTATTTTCATACTACAGGTCTAAATGAACGTGACATGCTGTTAATGCATCATGATGTAGAAATTAAATGGCCAGATCAAACATTAGAAAGACGTCAGTATAATTTAGTTGCATATGGTGATGTCAATGGTTACTCAGCCATGGCTAAAACAGTCGGTTTGCCAACTGCCATTGCCACAAAGATGGTTTTAGAAGGTAATATAAGTTTTTATCTGGATTAATATGGTTATAGCAGAGAGGTAGAATAAAAAAAGAAGTACATACTTCTTCAAATTATCTTCATCTCCTTCAAAGACTGTTTCATTTCCATCTCTAAATTGTAAATCTTTAAACAGTCAATAAAATATTTATCGTCATTTGGTACTTTTATATGCCCACATTTTCATGTGGACGTATATTGTCGTCGCCTCTGTCCGGACGAAACTTGAAATATAGGTATATCTCCCAAAGATCTCAGTTCCTTTCGATATTGGTATGTATCGGACCATAACTTCATGGATTATGGCCACTGATTGTACGAAAAATCACGTTTTTAGTTTGTGGACACTCTAGAGGTCACAAATTTGACCCGATTTTGATGAAACTTGAAATGCATGTTTATAAGCCAAAGATCTTTGTTCCTTTCGATATTTGCGCATATCGGATCGAAACTTCCTGAATTATGGCCCCAGATTTTACGAAAAATCACGTTTTTAGCATGTGGTCCCTCTAGAGGTCACAATTTTTTATCAGATTTAAAAAAAACGTTTTAGTATATCACTGTTCCACCCTAATGTTGGTTGAGTTCAAATTTTGTGAAAATTGGACCAAAACTGCCAGACAAAATGGTCACCCCTTGTACGGAAATAGTGTAAAATATGGTATATCAAGGTTGTGGATCCTCTAGAGGTCACAATTTTCATCCGATTTTGATGAAACTTGGAATGCTTGTTTATATTCCCAAAATCTTTGTTCCTTTTGATATTCGCGCATATTGGATCGTAATTTCCTGAATTATGATCCCTGATTGTACAAAAAATCTCACTTTTAGCTTGTGGTCCCTCAAGACAGGTCACATTTTTTATCCGATTTAAAAAAAACGTTTTAGTATATCACCATTGCACCCTAATGATGCTGGAGTTTGAATTTTTTGAAAATCAAACCAAACTGTCGGACAAAATGGCCGTCCCTTGTACGCAAATAGTGTGAACATCTGGTATATCAAGGTTGTGGACTTCCTAGAGGTCACAATTTTGATCTGTTTTTGATGAAACTTGAAATGCATGTGTATAACCCAAAGATCTTGGTTCCTTTTGATATTTGTGCATATCGGATTGTAACTTCCTGAATTATGGCCCTTGATTGTACGAAAAATCACGTTTTGAGCTTGTGGTCCCTAAAGAGATCACAATTTTTATCCAATTTTAAAAAAAACATGTGAATATATCACAGTTATACACTAATGATGGTTGATTTGGATTTTAGTGGGGGTTGGATGGCTGAATGGTTAGCGTGTGCGTGCTGTATCATAAAGTCTGTCACTGAGTCGACTGGCGTGGTTTCAAATCACAGTTGTACATGACAAGGTGTAGGGTCGCCTGTCCAACCTCGTGGGTTTTCTCCGGGTCCTCCCGTTTCCTCCCACTGCTAAAGACCCCTATGCGCAAACGAATTATTGAAATAAAATTAAACCATATGTTAGTCCCGAAATGACCTAGTTTGTGTCGAGTGGAGTTAAACCCCATTTCTCTCTCTCTCTCTCGCGAATTTCGTGAAAACACTGATGGACGTGATTGGCCGTCCCTAGTACACAAAATAGTGTAAAAATATGGTATATCAAGGTTGTGGACCCTCTAGAGACCACAGTTTTTATCTGATTTGGATGAAACTTTAAATATATGTTTTTATCATAAAGATCTTGGTTCCTTTTTGATAATCACACATATCTGAACGTAACTTCCTGGATTATGGCCCCTGATTTGTCGAAAAATCGCATTTTTATACGCCCACATTTTTATGTATATCAAGGTTGTGGATCCTATAGAGGTCACAATTTTTATCTGATTTTGTTGAAACTTGAAATGTAAGTTTATAACCCAACGATCTCGGATCCTTACGATATTCGTTCATATCGGACCGTAACTTCCTGAATTATGGCCCCTGATTGTACGAAAAATGGAGTTTTTAGCTTGTGGACCCTATACAGGTCATAATTTTTATCCGATTTAAAAAAACGTATTATTATATCACCATTACACCCTAAGGACGGCTGAGTTTGAATTTCGTGAAAATCGGCCCAAAACAGACAGACAAAATGGCCGCCGCTCGTTCTCAAATAGCATAAAAATATGGTATATCAGAGGTCACAATTTTTATCTGATTTTGTTGAAACTTGAAATGTAAGTTTATAACTCAAAGATCTTGGTTCCTTTCGATATTTGCGCATATCGAATTGTAATTTCCTGAATTATGGCCCTTGATTGTAGGAAAAATCACTTTCTTTTTAGCTTGTTCTCTATCCATCTCTCGAAAATGTGGGCGTATCCTGCCTGGCAGCCACTGGTTAACTTGTGGTTTCTCTAGAGGTCACAATTTTTTTTCCGATTTTAAAAACTGTTTTGATATATCACCATTCCACCATAATGAAGGTTGAATTGGAATTTCAGGAAAATCAAAATGAAACTGCCCTACGCAAGTTGTGTATAAGTATATAATACAAAGGTTATGAACCCTCTAGAGGTCACAATTTTTATCGAATTTTGATCAAACTTAAAAGATATCTTTATATTCCCAAAATCACAGTCCCTTTTGATATTTGCGCATTTCAGACCATAACTTTCTGGATTATGACCCCTGATTGTACAAAAAATCAGTTTTGTTTTTAGCTCGTTCTCTATTCATCTCTTGCAAAATGTGGGCGTATCCTGCCTGGCAGCCGCTGGTTAAAGTAGCTAAGTCTCTAAATCGATATCATCCAAAATCTTCGACATTGAAAACACAAATTATTTGTCATTTTAAATCAACATTGATGTTGTGATCTTACAGAGAAAAGATGGGCTTCTGATATCCAATAATTAAGACAAAATAAACATTTTACCGTTTGTATACGAATCGTAAACCATGGTGCATTTCAGCGCCATTTTTAACAAGGGGCTCGTAGAAAGAGGCTAGATATATTCCACAAGTCCTGTCAAACAGTGACGTCATATTCTTATCTGGAGAGCATGCGCATTAAATACTATCGGTATAGAGTGGAATAACCAGACGCTAGAGATTGCCATTGGATTCAAACTTCTGGCGTATTTAAAATTTAAAATTGATATATACTATTCAAAAAAAGTAGGGGATATTTGATTTTTAAGTGTTATTAAAGTCACCTAATGAAACTGACGAAGAAACAAATGACAAAATGAAATGAAGTTCACATTCATCGATTTATTCCAAATGATCGTTAGACTAAGTAAGGCACAGACTGACCATTATAAGGGTAAAATGATACCCGGGGTCAAACAGCAAAGTTACCACAGCATCACAACCAAGTCAGTAACGGGTAAATCCTCCTCTGTTTGCCAAACAAGCATTGATCCGACGTGGCATACTCCTAATGAGACGTCTAAGGTCATTTTGGTCCAGATTGTCCCATTCCTGTTGCAACGCAGCAGCAAGTTCTTGGACATTGGCAGGACGTTGTTGACGTTGACGTAACCTCTGTCCAAGCATGTCCCAGACATGCTCGATGGGGGAGAGGTCGGGACTCAGTGCTGGCCAAGGTAATGTGGTGATGTTCTGTTGTTGGAGGTAACCTGTAACGATCCTGGCCCTGTGACATCTTGCGTCGTGCGAACGGCACAACATGGACTGCCAAGATGTTGTCCCGGTAGTACTGGCCTGTAACACGCCCTGCAACAACATGTAAAGCCGTTCTTCCAGCAACAGTGATGCCTCCCCACACCATAACAGAACCACCCCCAAATCGATCATGTCTGATGACGTTAACGTCTTGGAAGCGCTCGTTTCGACGACGCCACACCCTCCTACGTCTGTCCAAAAAATCAACAGTCAACCTTGACTCATCTGAAAACATCACATTGCTCCAGCGTCGATTATCCCAGTGTTGACGATCCCTACACCAACGACGTCTTGCCTGAATGTGATGATCTCTCAAACAAGGGATCACGCGAGGACGTCGGGCGCGAAGGTGACCCCTATGCAGTCGATTCCGAATCGTCTGGCCACTCACTCTCACACCAGTGTCTGTTTGAAGACGAGCGCTGATCTGATTTGCTGTGATGACACGATTTCTCAAGGCCAAGGTACGGATAAATCGATCCTGGGCTTGAGTTGTCGCCCTTGGTCGACCTGAGCGTGGTCTGTCCTGTACAGATTGTGTATCACGGTATCTGGACCATAGCCTGCTTATGACAGACTGAGAAACATTCATCGTCCGCACCACAACCGCCTGTGTTGTGCCGATCTGTAGCATGCCAAGGGCACGTAACCTTTCATTTTGGGTAAGCCGACGCATATCAAAATTTGTTTTCTGGTCACTAAAACAATTAAACTGATGTTTCCACCCTGGAATTCAATGCCACAATGACTGTAACATTCAAAGTCAGAGTCGTGCAAATCTTGGGTTGGACCCCCATGATGATCCCAAGCATCACCTGCATTCCATGCGGTAGCTATTGGTGCGTTTGGGCGTCACATGTAACTGGAAATGTTTCTTCTGTTAGGTTCTATAGTGACTTTTTTCGTAGTCATTTGCATATTTTAGTATTATGCCCCCAAAATCAAATATCCCCTACTTTTTTTGAATAGTATATGTTGTTTACATTAGTGAGATGAAGAAGCCTATTTAATTTCAATAATTTCCGTTTATTATATCTAGAGTTATGGCACCTGTTTCACTTTGTTGAACCTTGTGAACGCTCTAATGCCAAAAGTTAACTTACGATCTTTGTGAAATTTATATGCAATATTTAAATTAGGGAAACGAAGAAGCCTATTGAATTTCAGCAATTTCCGTTTATTACGTAAAGTGTTATGGCCCTTGTTTCACTTTATTGATCCTTGTGAACGCTCAAAAGTTATCATCCGATCTTTCTGAAATTTATATGCATTATTTAGATTACTGCAACGAAGAAGCCTATTGAATTTCAGCAATTTCTGTTTATTACGTCTGCAACGAAGAAGCCTATTGAATTTCAGCAATTTCC